TTATGACCTCCCTTTTTTGTATAATCATAATACCAAAATATTCTGAGCAACCTTCAGCTTACAATTGGATTGTTTTGGCCTCAGAAGGCACTACCTGGCCCTGACAAGCAAGTACTGCACCAGGGTGAGAAATTTCTCTTGAAGACAAAAGTCAATAAACAACTGGCAGATTAACTGCAAAGTCTCTCTCACTGCCAGACTGAGGAAAACCCAAATCTTTTATCACTCTAACTCAGCCTTCTATTCAGTTTCTAAATAACCACTCAAGCTTTCTACAATCTAGTCTTTAGATATGGAAATTCACCCAAGTCGCCTATACAGAGCTAATCAGGTTTTTTACCATCTAGACTTCAAAAAAACTTACTTAAACTTTCTAACAAGTTTTTCAAAGAACCTTTCCTTAATTTGATTTACAAGAAATTTCCTCTTCCTGCCCTCACTTTACTTTACCCCCTAGGATGTCTCTATGAAAATGAAAGCTGTTAAGTAACTTTATTGTGGTTAATTTTCACTGTGGTAAATATAGTAATATTAGTCTTAAACTTTGTGAATCTATGTACCTGTTTTAACCTTGATAGATTGACTTTAAAAATGTTATAATCTCAACTAAAGATCAAAATGACCCCAGACTATTCTTAGAAAAAGGTGATTGTGATCTCAGCCCATTTCATATGCTAATGTCATCCCTCTGCTTGCTTGAAATGTAGAAAATAAACCTCTGCTGAAGGCAGAGCAGGAAGACTTCCACCCAACTCCCATTCCTGTGTCTTCCTCGCACCCACTCCCTTTTTTTCCCTGTTCCCCTTTCATAGGAATCTCCGCTCGCTGACACCGTTTCCACCTTGAAACCCTGCCTGTTCTGCCCCCCAACAATCCGTGATTCGGGACAAAGAGTCTCCGACAAGTCCTGAGGTAATTCTAGAGAGTAAAACAGTGAGAGAAAAAGTACACCCAAGGAGAAGGAATGGTATATGCAAGGGAAAAGATGTTCCAGGACGTTGGGGGTTTAGGTATATAAATGTATACATGTGTACTTATGTACACATATGTATACATGGATATGCATCATATATAATTCTCACATGGAATTTAATGATATGTGTCTTAAAATCAGAAATTCATTATATGTTCTATTTCAGCAAAGAAAAAGGAAAATTTTGTCAATGCAACAAAACACAGACTGTAAAAGAGACAAAAAAAAAAAAAAACCAAGAGCATATGGGACAATGCCAAAACATTAGAATTAACTCCAAAATATTAATCATCAAAACATCTAGAAAATTGTTGATTGAAGTGAAATAAAAGTTCTTGTTATATACTGCTTAAGAAAAAAACCTTGGGGAAAAACAGCCCAGGAAGCTAAGCACCTAGGAGGTTATTCAGACTACACAATGCAGGCTGCTGCTGAAGAACAAGATCTTGGCCTTTTTCACTGATAGAATGATCATGCAGCATCAGTTGTATGGGGGAGGAGGAAAAAAGGAAAAGGGGAAGAAGTAACTAGAAAATGTGCTGTCATCTATAGTATGGGGGGGGGGTGAGTCTGCCCTCCAGGTGCTCCTTATCTGCTTGATGACTCTACTGTAACTGAGATCCAGCCCTGGTTCCCCAGTCAGGGTTTCAGTCTTCCCAACAAGGAGTTCCACTGATCAGCTTCTGGGGTCCCTTGTCATACCTTGGTCCATTGGGAGTAAGTTTATGCCTCTGTCATCAGCCTCCTGAGCATTCCTGGTCATACCTCACCTCATGGTACCTACCCCTCCCAGGGTGATCCAGCTTTCTACTTTTGATTGATTTGAAAGGTACCTTGATTGATTTGAATAGGTACCTCCTATTGTTACAGGGAACCCCAAATCTGTTACAGGGCAGAATCTGTTGCAGGAGATGGGGAAAGGGGCACCCCGAACCCCTAAACTGCCTGCTCTAAGTAGGTTCTGCCATCTGCTTCG